AGAAAGCGCACGCATAAATCCATGGCAAAATATGGAGGCTGGGATTCACGGGAAAATTGTGGGAACGAAATTTTGTCTTATCCCCACATTTTGAAGAAAATCCATGTTTTAAATGCAATTTTTTGAATCCGTGTTTGCAATTTTTCAGTTAATTGGCAAAAGCGTAAGAGATATGATTTATGCCTGAAGTTAATGTGGAAATTGATTCGGCGAAATTGGTGCTGAACGCATGAGTAAAAGTTGACGAACTAATACAGTACATCAGTATTATGAACACATCTAATTTAATTTGAAAGTGTCTTAAATTATTTGGCAAATTTTTATACTTTTGTTGGCGCAAAAATGGAGTGTTCAAGATCGAGTTGAAATATTGACACGCCGAACCGAGAATAAATTTTTTTTTTCAAGTGTAAAATGGAAAAACTGCTTTAAATATTCTCTGTTGAACTTGAAATAACACATTTTGATTTTGAAAATTTAGTATAAACGAAATTTAAAAATTTCCCCTTCAATCGGATAAATTTTAAACGTTGAGAGGAACTTTTTCAATGACTCTCTTCGTAATTTTAAAAATCAGCTCACATTGAAAAGGTTTAATTATTTTTTGTTTTTTTCAAAAATGGAACTTCCTCAGAATTTTAAATTACATTGAATTTGAATTCATTGAACTTATTCAACTTTTTTCGATGTTGAAAATTTAACACAGGCACGGAATTTAAACATTTTCTTCGATCAGTTACGTTTTGAAGGTTTAGAGGAACTTTTTCGATGACTCACTTTCTACTGTAATTGTAAAGATCAGGTCATTTTTTTTTTGAAAAGAAGAAGAACTTCTCGAAATTCCGATTTACCTTGACGATTTGTGGTTCAACGTAGGCCTGAATAACGGGGATTCCAGCGTGATGAATTTTCTTGTGTACTGTGACAGCGGGCTTGTGGACCTGAAAACGAAATTTGTGAAAGCGTACAGTTTTTCATATCGTCAATTCAAGCTGCAAATCTGAACTGTGTCAAGTACAGGCACAGTTTTTGAATAAATGTGGTTCCGAATTCCAGATCATGGATTGTTGGAAAGTAATCATGTCGAGGACTGGAAAAAATTTCAAGTTGCAAACGGTGCAGTTGTGATTATTTTCAAATGCTTCATCATCTATTGTTTCAAAATTTTCCGAAATTTTCTCTCAGCCGAAAGTTCTAAATATTTTATGCATCTTTTTAGAATCAGGATGCATTTTCGGTGGATCTTCACCAAAGTCCGATACTTCCATTGAAAAACAAAACAAAAAATTCCGAGAAATTTTGAAAAACGCTTGAAATTCAGCATTGTTGCGGAATGAAATATAAATATCCTTGGTCAGCCTTTCATTTTTGTTTTACGAGAAACCTGCATCTAACTATGCTCAAAAAAATATGAGAAGCAAATAAGGATTTTCGAGTCTTTTTCTGTGCGTTGGGAAGGATTTCAAAATTGGAAGAGCACGTGTTCTCTTTCATAATTTCCCGAGTCAGTCTCACAACAACTCCACGAGTTGACAATTTTCTGAAGAATGATATATGTTGATGGATAATTGAAAGAGTGCGATTTTTCGCACCATCGGACAGAAATTGGCGCATCGACGCAAAAATTACGAAATCACAGCCACGATTTTACTTCTCCAGGTTTTTTGGGGGAAACTCGCGGAAAAATTGAGTTTAGGCTACATGAGGATTTTTTTTTTTCAAATCTGAAACTTCGACGGGAGGACTGTTTGGATCTTCAATATTTCGGAGACTTTGTCTTTCTTGCTGAAAAAAATTTCAGAAGCCAATGGAAAAATTTCAAGAAGAAGGGTGGGATAAATTCTAAGGTAACGATGATTTGAATCACAGGGAAGCGTTGTCTTGCATGTTTCTATAGTAAGATGTGGATGTGACACACTTAGAAGCAAGATTTTGGTAATCTTCGCATTATCTCGAATAGGCATATGCTCAAATACGTACAATTTTGTTCATTTTTAGACCTATACAAAATTGAATTTATGAAAGAGCGCCACTTTGAATTTTCTCGACGCGAATTGAGCAACTATTGATCATAATTATGATTATCTTCGCAATTTTTCGCCGATAGGCCGCATATTTATGGTGGTGCTGCGGGTTATATTAGAATATGTGTTGAGAAAAATGCAAGAAATCTGACCTTTTTATTTTTTGAGAGAAAAGCGTTGCTATGAAAAACGTGAATTCGGTTATTTTCGCATCATTTCCCTTGAAGACCGTCGAGGTGAGACGCCTTTTTATGGCGTTTTTTTGACAATTTCCATGATGGGCACATAATTTCGTGATTGTGAAAAAAAAAAACATTTAAGGCATATCTGTACCTGAACAACTGGTGCGTGTTCATAATGTTCCTCGACGACAGGCAGAGGATGGACTTGTTTTTCGACAGTGACGACGGGTCTCGGGTCAATGAGTGTCTCCTGAACGAATTGAGCGTGTTGACCGTGTTTCTCGTGGTACGAGGTTTCGGAGATTCTGGTGGGATGCTCGTCGACAATGGTCTTCTTCACACTGACTCCTGTAGAAATCATCGAGAAAAAAAATCGAAGAAAAAGCAGTTTAGAAAATGTTTCCAGAAATTCCGTCTTCAAGTATTTCTTGAACATGTTTCCCTTAAGGTTTTGAATAACTAGGTATTAAATAAAGTAAGTGTACCTTGATTGCGTGGGGCAATTGGTTCGTGTTACGTGGAATGTGGAAGTCATAAAATATAATTCTTCGACTGTTTGCATTTTTTAAAGCATATCGTAGTAGATTATTTATTTTCATTTTATTCCTTTTTATCCTGGCAGTCTGAAAAAAAGTCTCCAAGTTAATAATCCCTAATGCAGTATAATAACGCCTCGTATGTTTTTATCATTTCCAATTATAGCACTATACTCGAATTAGATAAGTACTTATGATACAGTATTTGGGAAAATGAGAATTTTTCGATTTTTTCTGATAACTATTAGAAGGCTCAGCAGCTGAATATTTCTCACGAGGCAAAACCGTTCACACGTAATTGTACATGGAATGTCTGTATCAGATCATTTGCATAATCCGGAAATTTAATTAGCTTGAGTATTGAAAAACGTTGTGTTCTTTGCCGTGAAAATGTTTCGTTGTTATCTTCGAATCCAACGGGGGGGGGGGATATTCATCAATATATTCTTCATTTTTGTACCCAAGTGGAGAAACCCGTTTTGAAGGACACGATTTGCGATTATTGCTTCTTTTTTTATTTCATCCGTTGTAAATCTTTGCGCCTGTTTTGTGAATTCCATTGTACAAATCAATTTTGAAGATCTTTGTAGTTAACGGGAAATTTTAATCTGAACTTGTTCTTATCTTCGATCCGCATTTTGGTCCCCTCAGAAATTCCTGGAAAATGAGTGTTCCGTTTGGCGCCAAAATATTGAGCGTCTTTGAATCGAGAAATTTCTATTTGAAAAAAATTGGATGCTGAACGAAATGCGAAATCAATTGTCAATAAGATATATTGCGAAACATCTCAATTATTTATGGAATTTCGTATAACAACCTGGGTACAGTACAGTACTGTATTTATAATCGTGTTCCTAGCGTAATAGACGTAATTCAACTTGTGGAGGTTTTCATTTTTGGAAGTTTCCAGTTGAGGAAACAAACACTTTCGTTGTGAGCAGAATTGAAAAAAAAAAAAGTTTGGGAAATCATAAATAAGGATATTCTGGGCCAAAACTTGCTCCTTATAATGAATTCATCACCTTGCTGAACTTGGAGGCAGGGGTTCATCTGCTGTTTTTGTCTTTCAATTCCTTTCAAGATGCATCAAATTATTTGTTTTAATCATTTTCTCTTTCATATTTCAAGGAAATGATGACCAGAAGGCATCAGAAAATTCTACTTATAGATGTTTTTAGAGAAAAAAATACTAGGAGTTAGTGAGGTTTTTAATGTATTCATTTTAAGGGAATTCAGACAGGGACTTGAAAAAAAAATTTCGACTTGGGGAGGTTCGACTTATCCAGGTTCACCTGTATTTCTAAATTTAAAAAAATAATAAATCGGTTTAGCGATTATCGTTATTCGACGAGATTACAGCCGATCCCCACGCGGATGAAGAACCAAATCATCGTCATCATCATGATCATCAACACCTGCAAAAAAAAATAAGAAAAAAAAAGCAAAACTCACCAGCTTCAGCGTAGGTCTTCTCGACGTGTCCGTGTGGCCCGACGAATTCGTGCTTGTGCACGACACCCGGCTTGTAAAAGTGCTGCTCTTCCACGTGGGCCTTGGGATTCGGAGAGTGGACTGTCTTTTCGTAGGCGTATGCGGGTGTCGTGGACACGATGACTGCCGCGTGGTCCACGG